AAATTAAAAGGACACAAGATTGTGTCGTTTAAAAGGACAAACTTTTCCCCTGTTAATAATTACATGAGTGTTAAACTCATTAAATAATACAATAACATAAAACTATATGTTAATTCAAAACTATTTTATTTTATTTTTATTTTTTTTATTAATAAAAGTTTAGACGAGGTTAGAGATCGGTATCTCACCAGGGTCATGACAGACCTTCCAACCTATTTGAGAATTTTTGGAAAGAATTACAGATTACCCACTAACAAGATTCTCATATCGATCCGCAGAATTTAAACTCATACTTTTGTAGTGTATGAGTCAAATCCTTAACTAACTGTAAATTCAAAACTATTTTATATTCACACTTTCAAAGTACATCTAATTAAAATTTAAATTCACATGTATTGTCTCCCACGGTATCATCATAAACATTGTCATTACTTTTGTTACGCAAGTGCATTACACTCTCGACCATCACGACCGTTGTAAAACATCACCCCTACTTTAGCTGCTATCGTTATCACTAATTAGGGATTAAAATGAGTTCAACACTTCAACTTGATGGTTCGGTTTGAATAACGTGGTAGAACAAGTGGATCCGGCAATGAAAATATAAACTTGAATATATTTTGACTCGACTCAACTGACCTTATTTAATTTGGCCCAACTCAATCTAAGTTGATAACGAATGGATCACATTAACCCACTAGTCGACTGTCTAATTATTTTATTTAAGTTAAATAAAATAATTTATATAATATGTGAAGAATTTTTATTTATTTTCTCTAACATAGATTATCATTTGTATTACAATAACTGTTTTTTGTTTGTTATGATTTAAATAATTAATAAAATTAAAATTGATGTTTGAAAATAAAATTTAAGTGTTGAAATCTCGAGAGAAAAAAAAAAGGTATGTTAAACTAGCTCTGCCTAACTCATGATATGCATAGGACTGATGTCATGCATGTAAGGTTTGCCTATTAAAGGGGAAAAGTTAAAAATCGAATCCAAAACACTATTAGCCTTAATGGAATGTTTGATCCACTGTGTCAACCCTCATTGGTTGACCAATTATTTGTTTGCCTTTAATAATTTTGGCACAGTTAAAAATTAATTTGACTCTCATGTAATTTAATTTGTTCAAATTGATACCTATATAACCAACCATTAACATTAACATTATTAAGACAGTGAACACTACTCCCGTTACTTCCACCACTACCAAATTTCAATTCTGATTTCATAGTTTGTCTGCCTAGATGTGTTATGCCATAAAGTTTGCGTAAGTGCTTACATATGATGACCCCAAAATCTCAAGGAATATATATACACCAATTTGACATACAATATGCATGAGAGTATATACACTTATATATATATATATATATATATATATATATATATATATATAGAGTATTATTTCTGAAGTCGTGGTAGAAATAATAATTTTGCCATAGACATAAAAAAATATTCTCTCTCATTCCACCAAAACATTCTCTCTCATCTCTCATTGTGTCTGTGTCAGGGAGTATTATTTTTGACACAACTGCAGAAATAATACTCCACACACTCACATATATATATATATAATACTCCATATATATATATATGAAAATATTATATTTACAAAGATTTTGTTTACAAACTATATTATGTCTGAACGGTCATACACTAATCAAGAGTATATGATCGGTCATACTTACTGTAATTTGTAAAAAATAATTATAAACGCATCATTCTCCATATATATATATATATATATATATATATATATATATATATATATATATGTATATGTGTGTATATGTATGCTTGTATTAGAGGATGCAATTTCTATATTGTGAAACATAAAGTCAAAAGCCAGTGATTTAGTGGTGAGGAATTTGAATAATTTATATTAAGTTATGTATTAAAAAAAAAAAAAAGACAGAAAATTATTATAAAGAAGCAAGTGGGAATGAAGGACAACAAAAAAGGGAAAAGAAAGTGGGCCGGTGTTAAGGAGAGTGTGAGATAAGAGATTGGTGAATTGAGATTTTTGAGTGTAAAGCCCTAGAAAATGGAGATGGGCAAAGCATGCCGGGTGTGACAAAGACCACACACTGTATATTCCTTCGAGAAAGACAGAGTGGGTCCATTACTGTTCAAAGCACGCAGAGATAGATGCATATATAGGGTTAAGACTATTGAGGAAGAATAATAAAAAAAGAGAGAGAGATTACTATAAAGTGAATGTGCCCACGAGCTAAGTACTAGTTAGTGTATGTAACGTAAAAGACTCGCAACTTTTTCTTTACATTCTTCTACTTTGTGCCTTTCTCTTATTTATTTTTTCCCCCTATTCCTCTTTCTGCTTTCATTGCCCATTGTTCTGCTCATTCCTCTTTGCCTCACTTGTAACTCCTATTTGTGCATTTTACACTTTCCCTTTTCTCTCCCTTAAAAGTTTTTTTTTTCTTTCTTTCTTTCCTCTCTGCATCTCTTTCCACTGTGCCAGAGTGTGAGAATCCAAGAAAAGAAAATAGAGTCCAAACAAAAGCGGCTCAAGAATCTTGCTTTTCAACATGCCAAGGGAAAGCTAATCCTGCACTTCACCAACTTCTGCCCTCGTTTCATAAGAAAATTACACCAAGCACCCATTCAATTTTGTTCTGCGGGCATGTGCCTTCTATAACAATCTAGAGTGAGTCGAAGGATAATCTGAATAATTGATTTGTTACGAATATGTTATGAATAATAAGCGACCAACCAAATATAAGTGGATGATGCTTTCAATGATAATGAAAAGCAACGCCACAAATAGAAATCCACGTAGTAAAAAAAGTAGTTAATTAGTCAAAAACAACATATTTGACCTTTTAATGAACATAAACTTATATTATTTTAATTGAAATTACTATATTTTATGATAGGAGAAACATAAATTATGGTAAGAGAAAGTAATATATATTTTTAATTTGAATATTAAAAAAAAAACTAAATTTAAATAAAATAACTGTACTTTAACAGTACAAACATTTTTTTCTTAGTATAATGTAAGGTTGTTCAGCAGAAACTGAAAATAGCGTGAAACTTGTTTCCCTTCTCATTTCCAACGATACAATTCGTAAAGAAATAAACAAGTCATCAAGAACATTGACATGCATGGACGTGTTGTCCCTGTCTCTGAAGTACAATTCGATTTGCATGGTTGTGCCTTTTCCAAACATAAATAATCAAGCTCCAAATACACAACAAGTTGCATCCAATTGGTTTACAAAGTTGAATTCTTCATAATTAATCCTGATTATAATGTTCAAATCCTTCCAAAAGCAAACCCCCCTCATTTCCGTATCGTTGTTTTCTCATCATAACGGAAGAATGTTAAATTAACTTGAAAAAAAAATCAAACATAATTAAGGTTTTGACAACATAAAACAAGCCGGGGTACCAAGATAATCAGAATTTACCAAATGCAAAATAAGCACAACATAAAAAAGCATAGACGTATACCCACCGTTAAACATATTCATATATATTATATAGGTTATATAACTATTATGTGACATGATCTCGAGGAAATTTTTTTCCTTACAGACACAAATTTGAATAAAGTCTATTGATTTTTTTTCCCTTTCTTGCTTCCACTTTCTCTCTCTTTTATGCTTTGCATGACAAAACTTCGTATTCCTATGACATGGTAGTTATATAACCTTATATATATAATATTTTTTTTGTAGTTAATCCAACTCTAATTAATTTTTTGAGGTGAGTTGACTCTCTCTGGTATTTCCATAAGTTTTGATTCTTTGAATTGATTATGAGGCTAATTCGGAGTGCAGAACGATTCAACGATGAAAATATTTAAATCTCTACCAAAGGTGACATGTAGAGATTGAACCAAGACTCTTTTCTTTTCACTTACTCAGCTCCATTGATACCAATTGAGTTACCACCATTTATATTTATATATATATATATATATATATATATATATATATATATTTATAAAAGTTATATTGACAATTTTTTTTTTTTTATAAACTTAATTACAAACTACATTATGCATTATGAGTAGTAAGTTGATATGAACTATCTTTGTAAACATTTTGTTTGTTAATATAACCATTGATATACATATCATTCACCAAATTACATTTCATCAATTCTCGTGTGTTTAGCATTTTTCAATTGAAGAATAGCAAGAGTTTGAAGTGTTTGTTTTCAACGGTTACAGAAATTCTTTGTCACTTTCCTAAGTGCTCAGCCAGTGAGTCAGTCAAAAAAGCGCATTTTGGTAACAATCCGACAAAATCAGAGGCCTTTTCCAACATCTGTCCCTGTTTCGCTATCAACCGTTTGTGTTCAAACATCAATCTTAAAGAAGTCAAGGTGCAGTTTCGTTATTATCTTTCAACCCAGTGCCCAATTCCACAACCTCTAGCCTTACATCTATTTAAAGAAGCACGCATCCCTCTCTCTCACGTCCAACCCATCCTCTTCAAATAGTATTTCAAAGAATTCACCATCCTCTCCCTTACCTTTGCTTTCAATCCAAGTTCTTCTCTATACTCAATAAATTTTGACCCAGAGCGCATCATCATCCACAACAGAAAACTAAGCACTCCTCCAATTATGATTTTTAGGCAAGTATTTATACCTTTCCATTATCTAAGCTACTTTTGATATTTCTCTAGTTCATGCATGTTCCTTAATATGAACTCATTAATGATCATATTTTATTGATGGTAGCTAACTAGAAGTCAAGTTTATCACTCATAGCCTCCTGCAAAAGTTGCAGGATTTTCATTTTTGTTACAAATAGACATTTATTCCTTTTTTGTTTAAATATATGTATAGGCATACAAAATAATTTCATAGTAAGGCTAGCCTGTACTTTAATATATATAAAGTTGTCCATTATTTTTTCAATATACACACTACTGAACTCTGATCACTGATCATAATAACCCAATTAAAAAGTGACATAATCATTTTATCCACTTTTTGCAGCTTGGGATCCGAGGAGTTAAATCCAAGGCATATAGAAAACTGATTCCTCTCAAGAAATTAAACTCAGGAAGACATGGCCAAAGGAGCTCTAACGTTTATGTGCCTCTTCATATTCATGCTCAACTTCCACTCATCCAATGGAGAAGAACTCGAGGTTCTTTTATCCTTCAAATCTTCCATCCACGACCCTCTTCACTTTCTTTCTAACTGGTTCAATTCCTCTGCCACTATCTGCAAGTGGCATGGCATCACCTGTGACAACTCCTCCCACGTTAACTCCCTGGTTCTCTCCGGAAAAAACATCTCCGGCGAGATAATTTCCTCGTCCATTTTTCAACTTCCATACGTTACAAACCTCGACCTTTCAAACAACCAGTTAGTTGGGGAAATCTCTCTCAACTCTTCTTCTTCTCTGTCTCCATTTCGTTACCTCAACCTTAGCAACAACAACCTCACGGGTTCTTTGCCTCTGTCCTTGTTTTCACCGTCGTTTTCTCACCTCGAAACTCTGGACCTCTCGAACAACATGTTTTCAGGTAAAATACCAGACCAAGTTGGATTGCTTTCAAGCCTAAGGTATCTTGATCTCGGAGGAAACGTTTTGGTGGGAAAGATTCCAAATTCCATCACCAAGATGACAACTTTACAATACCTTACGTTGGCTTCAAACCAATTAGTGGGTGAAATCCCAACAGAGATAGGCCTAATGAAGAACTTGAAGTTGATTTACTTGGGTTACAACAACCTTTCAGGTGAGATACCAACAAGCATTGGAGAGTTATATTCTCTGAATCACCTTGATCTTGTTTACAACAATCTCACTGGACCAATTCCTGAAACTCTTGGAAACCTCACCGATCTTCAATTTCTCTTTCTCTACCAAAACAAACTTACCGGTTCAATTCCCCGGTCCATTTATGAACTGAAGAAGCTTATCTCACTTGATCTCAGCGATAACTCTCTTTCGGGTGAGATTTCTGAGCTTGTGGTTCAGCTCAAGAGAGTGGAGATTCTTCACCTTTTCTCAAACAGCTTCACTGGAAAGATTCCAAACGGTTTAGTATCACTGCCTCGCCTTCAAGTTCTTCAGCTATGGTCAAACAGATTAACGGGTGAGATTCCTCAAGAGCTAGGAAAGCATAGCAACCTCACTGTTCTGGACCTCTCTTCCAACAACCTCACAGGGAAGATCCCAGATAGCTTATGTGACTCTGGCAATCTTTACAAGCTTATCCTCTTCTCCAATTCTTTAGGAGGAGAAATCCCTAAAAGCTTAAGCTATTGCAGAACCTTACGCCGAGTGCGTCTCCAAAACAACAAGCTTTCTGGTGAATTATCATCAGAATTCACCAAACTGCCTAACATATACTTCTTGGATATCTCTGGCAATGAATTTTCTGGAAGGATAGGTGACAGAAAGTGGGATATGCCGGCGCTTCAAATGCTTGGTTTGGCTAACAACAACTTTTCCGGCGAGTTACCAAACTCTTTTGGGAGTGACAAATTGGAGGACTTGGACTTATCGGAGAATCAATTTTCAGGTTATATTCCAACCGGTTTGGGAAGCTTATCAGAGCTCATGCAATTGAAGCTAAGCAATAACAAGCTCTTTGGGAACATTCCAGAAGAACTCTGTTTGTGCAAGAAGCTTGTCGCTTTAGACCTCAGCCACAACCACCTTGCCGGGAAGATTCCGGTCAAACTTGGTGACATGCCGGTTCTCGGTTTACTTGACTTGTCCGAAAACCAATTATCCGGTGAAATTCCAAAGAATTTAGGAAGCGTGGAATCTCTTGTTCAGGTAAACATATCTCACAACCATTTTCATGGTAGTTTACCTTCCACCGGGGCTTTCCTTGCCATCAATGCTAGTGCAGTCACTGGCAACAGTCTCTGTGACCGTGACGGTGATGCTTCAAGCGGTTTGCCACCATGCAAGAGCGAACAGAATCACACTTGGTTGTTCATTCTGCCATGTTTTCTGTTGGGGTTGTTTGCGTTTGCTGCAACGGCTTTCCTCATCTTTTTCATTCGTCGAAGAAAGAACATGGAGCTTCGAAGAGTAGAGAATAATGAAGATGGCACATGGGAAATGCAGTTTTTCAACTCCAAGGCCGCGAAATCGATCAACATCAAAGATGTTTTGTCGTCAGCTAAAGAAGGAAAAGTGATTTCCAAAGGAAGGAACTGGGTTTCATACGAAGGAAAGTGCATGGGGAATAACGACATGCAGTTCGTGGTGAAAGAAATCGTTGACCCAAACTCTCTTCCACTGAGTTTTTGGGAAGACACGGTGAAGTTTGGGAAGCTTCAGCACCCAAACATCATTAACCTTATTGGAACGTGTAGGTCTTGCAAGAGAGGGTACTTGGTGTACGAGTACGAGGAGGGAAAGAATTTAAGCGAAATCCTAAACAACTTGAGTTGGCAACGGCGTTGGAAAATTGCCATGGGGATTGCAAAAGCACTAAAATTCTTGCATTCTCACTGTTCATCAATAGTTTTTGTTGATGAAGTTTCTCCAGAGATAGTTTGGATTAACATCAATGGTGTCCCTCGCCTGAAGCTCAACCCTCCGGGAATAATGGCATGCATGGATGTCAAGGGTTGCATTTCTTCACCCTACATTGCCCAAGGTACATATATATATACATATAAAACTATATACTCTTTTGTTAATCAAATTAATATGGTTTGTATAGTATATATGGATACATTTTAGTCCTAACCAATGTTATATATATATCAGTCTTATGTTATGTCATATACTATATATTAATGTTATGGTTGGATCGATGTGAGTAATTGCAATTTTAAATTTTCAGAGGAAGATGTGACAGAGAAGAGTACGCGTGAGATATATGGGTTTGGAGTTATGCTGATTGAATTATTGACGGGAAGAAGCCCGATGGACACAGAAGCAGGGAATGGGAATGGCATGCACAAGAATATTGTGGAGTGGGCCCGCTACTGCTACTCCGACTGTCATCTTGACACGTGGATAGACCCTGTGATGAAGGGTGGAGATGCATTGACCTATCAGAACGACATCCTTGAGATAATGAATCTCGCCCTGCACTGTACCGCAACTGATCCCACAGCAAGGCCATGCGCAAGAGACGTACTCAAAGCCCTAGAGGCTGTTCACAGCAACACGCCCTCTTTTTGCTGAGTTAATTTCAGCACTAAAAAACTCAATTCTAGCTATGATTTTGCTACCTGCGAGCTTTCTCTGACCTTTGCTATAGTTTTTTTTTTTTTTTCTTCCATTTGAGGTTTCACTTTTTTTTTTCTCTCCTTAAATTGTTTAAAGTTTTTTAGTTTAGCATAAGTTGTTGATCAAGGGATTGCTAGATAAAATGTTTGCTTGATATTTTATATATGGAGTATGCTTGACATACTGCTGATGAGTGTAAAAGTAAATGTAAATAAATTGAATGTTATTAATAAATTAGTTATATGAAATCAATGCTGCCTCTATATAATTATTGTACTTATTATATACTACATCAACACTTAAATTTCTTAGCCAGTTGATATATCCTGTTCTAAAATGAGAAGATTAAATTTATTAATTTTTTTCATCAATTGATATAACTCTTTACTTTTTCTCTAAAATGATCTATCACTATTCACTCTAAAGTAGTCTAATTCTATTTTAATTCAATTATGATCAATAGTTATTTATTTATTTTACTTTCTAAGTTATATCATGTGCTTTGATGGAGTTTGGTCTTAATTTGCAAAATAACAAAAACACAATACTCTCTATACCTACCTACTAACCTACCCTATATGGGAATGGGAGCGAAAGGTTTGCCGTAACATGAGTACATGACCATGGAAATTGGAAAGTGAATGTCCCTGATCTTTATACTGGAAGCGCAACTCAAAGCTGGTAACTAAGTTAGTACATGAGTGTTAAGGAAAAGGAACAAGATCATGTGTTGGATTATTCTAATATTATTTTTAGAAGAAATTTAAAATCTTAATACTAAACTCACTACTAACGTAATTATTTTCGGTATAGGATACCTACAGTGGCGAACCGGTGTATGTTTTAGTATGTGCAAATGCACACACAAATTTTTTGAAAAAAAATAAAATAAAATATATTTTGGGTCATGAATAAAAATCACAGGATCCAATTTAATCTCTTAAAAAAAAGTTGACTCGTGATCCCTTTAAAATCTAAAATAGATCCATGTTAGTCCTTTTGAGGGATTAATGTGGGTCTTTTTGAATTTCAGATGACCATGATTTTGATTATCTGGGTCTATTTTTGAATTCTAAGGGACCACGAGTAGACTTTTTTTCCCTAAGAGATTAAATTGATGCCCGTAATTTTTGTTGAGAATCCAAAATGTTCTATTGTAAGAGTTTAGTTGGCTCTTAATAATTTTTTTATATTAAGTTAAAAAAAAAATTATATATATTCTTTTTGTATTTTAATATATTTAATTTTTTTTTAATTTTTTTTTATTCTTTTATTTTAAGTGTGCAGAGATTAATTTTTTTTTCTAAGTCCACTATTGGATACCTACATGGTTTATAAAAAAAAAAAAATGAAATCGCAACAGCACTTATTTTGTGGGGGGACCACATTTTACTTATTCTTTACGGGTTCGATGATATTTAATTATTTTTTGTCCCATTGTCGAAGACTTTTGCAGAAATTCGCAGCCAAAATATAAAAAATTAAGGGGGAAAAAAAAAAAGCAAAATAATTTCATTATAGCAATAAGCGTACAATCACGCAACTCAAAGCTGCATGCAGAAACTCAGTTAGACAGTGAGGGAAAGAAGTCAAGGAACACTCATGCACTTAAGCTTTTTCTTCTCCCTTCATATCTAAAATTAAAGCCACCTAGGGTTCAAGAGTTCTTAATTTACATACTAAATACACTCAATTAACAGATTAAGGGACAAATCCACACTTCCTTTCACTTATATATGCTTTTTATGCTCTCTATTTTTTCATATTTCCTATCTATTACAGTCATGATGTTAGGTATTAACCAATCGGGGGGAAGTTAATTAGGCTGCCGCTGGTTTTAAATGCATCACTATTTCTTAAACATATGAAATTAACGTTTAAAAAAGTGGGTTTAGTGTAAAATATATCTTGTTATATTTGGTTTTGCTGCCACCTAATCATGCAATCACATTCAACGTTCCGATTGTCATAATAATACAATCACAAAATCTAACTCGCGGAGACAGACATTCAACAGAAACTTCTGCTATTATATACAATGATAAGTTGACGCATTTTTTGTTTTTTGGTTTGAATGCAAACTGTAATTGAGACCTTTAGTTTGGTTATGATTATAGGACTGATAAAAGGCAGTGATTAGATTTCTATCTTCTGGGAGACTCCTTTTCTTTTTTCTGTTCATGATGTAAGTTTGAATCTATGATGATGGCTGCACCTTAAAAATCACTGATGTTGGGCTTCGTCTGGTCTCATTTCATACATTAATAAACTTAAATCATACTCAAAACAATGGATTTTTTATTTTATTTTTTTTTTGTTAATAATATGCCAAATCCAGCATTTCAGTGTAGTTACATACCCTTAAGATTTTTTGGTTCTCATCATATAATAAGTTTCTAAATGCACTATATGTGTGCTCAAAACAATTAATACTTATCTTGATTTGGGTTAGTGTATGCATGACTGAGCACTAAATCCACTCCATTTATTATGTAAAAGTAGCACTACATAGGGATCTTCTTCCCAGCCAGGCCAGACCACAAACTTTCTTGTGACCCACCTTCCGTTCCATGTTATGATGATAGTGCTGAGAGTTAAATTTTTTAATAAATTTTCCTTCTTCTTTTTTCCTCTTTTTCTTTTAAACAAAGTTTTTTCTAATTTTATGGCCTGTATAAGTAATGATGGTAGTGCAAGAATCCTTTTATCTTTTCTTCAATCAAAACTCTTGGAGGGGTTTCCACAGTTAGAAGATTCCACCAGTAAAGATGAGTCTAAGCATAAAGATATAAACTAGCTGACATTTTGAGGAGCAAAACAGCTCAGTCTGGCTGGCACGGATACGATCAGCTGCAATGTTTTGTTCTTCTCAAAAGCCCCCCCAATGTTTCAATTATAGCCCTTGGAGACCATGCAAAAGGTTCTTTGGCTTCATTCTTTCAAGTCAAAAAAGCCCCTTTTCCTCTGATTTTTTTTTGTAAAGTCCTATTCTTTGGTTATCTTTGGTAGTAGGAAGTGTTTGAATTGTTAATATCTCCCCATCTTTGTTTACTTTCTAGATCACAACAAAAAGAATTTTCATGTATGCTTCTTTCTTAAAAGACAGCTGGCTTTTGTTTTCGAACTTCAATGTACTTAATGATGGTATTTGATCCACGTGCAACCCATTGGATATTGCACACACCCACCCACTTGACACAGTTCGAAATGGAGAAAAGGGGTTACCTAGTGCTATTGACTGATGCATTAGAAAAGTTCAAGTATGAAAGCTATTGGCATTAATTCTTGACCGTGGGTGGAACGAACCATAATATGCTAAATGAAAAAGGATAGATACTGTAGGAGTTGATTAAGCAAGCATTGGACATCTAATTAGAATCATATATATATATATATAAGTTTCACAAACTTTTTATTCGGCCAACAAAAATGTAAATAATTTAAGGGGATGATAAGTTAGTAAACTCATGAGTTGATAAATGAACATTCAAGGATTTTGTAAATTGACTTTATGCATTTAGCAGCACTCTTGCTTAACCGAAAATGCATATTGATACGGCAATTATTGTGGCTTTCACTTATTCCGATGAGTGAATCGAATGGTTACACAAATTTGCTATGTTTAAATCTAATCAATTAAAAGTATGGATATGTAGTCATCCTATGATAATGAATCTGAAAGACACTTTACTTTTGTCGGCAATTTAAACTTTATTCCTTAAGACTTTGGTTTGTCTCTCATTCGTTAACGTGCTGTGCCAAAGATCACATCAGCCCCTTCCATCACTTCCAAAAACAAAAGAAAGACACTTTCAGGGAACACTCGGGTCGATTTCCCTTTCAATTGATAGTAACCAAGGTAAAGTAATGACAAACTTGTGCCCCTTTTGATGCCATGTTATCCCGAATGTGGATTACATATAACCAACTCTTGAGTCGAACTAGGCTTTATTTCTTTCGTGTATATGCCTAACCAATCTAACTGGAGGGATGACTTTGTACTAACAAAAAGAATTATCCCTTCTTTTATCTTATTTGTTACAAAATTGTTCTTACTTTTCCAACAATTAAGAAATGAAAGAAGCAATTCAGAACATAAACAAACGATTTAGAACGTAATTTACCACTTAATTCTGGTTCTTACTTGTTACTTTCTTACTTGTTACTTACAGAGCAAGTTATAATCTCTTTAGTACTTTCGGCTTAGTTAAATAGTTTTGTGCAGGGAGCAGTTTCACCCATAGCGCATAATTTCAATCAATATGAAATACAAAACTGATCATAAATTGAGAGGATCAAAAAATGTATGACCAAAGGTCTATACACTTGTGGGAATATATGGAAGAGATGTCACGGGGTGACAAATTACTGTGTGCACTGTGGCGAGGCTCAAGACCAAAGGTGTGAGGTGTTTGCACAACTAATAAAGTAGGATTCAAAATATGTATACATGAGAAACTTAATTCATTATTTATAAACGAGTTATCTGTAGGTGTCAGAGTCTAATGGGAGTCAAACTCTTACACCTTATCTCCTAATATCTGTGTGGAAGGCTTTATCTTAATATGTTATTAGGTTGTTACTAATAATGACGTACGATCCAAGGCTTCGGTCCAGAACAAGCACAAAATAAACTCTGCCTATATCACCCCAAAAATGGAGTAAGTTTTGCTTTGTAGATGTAAAAAATAGGAAACATGAAATGGGTTTTGACAGAAGTAGAGGTAAAAGAAGTCATGGCTCATAGAAAATGTCTAAACTTGCACTCAAATGTTGAGAGGAGTTTATGCAAGTGTGTGCCCACATTAATGCACTCATAGGGAAAACAATTGGTGGAAGGTAAGAAATGGAATCAATGAATGTGATACATATCGCTCTCAAATCTCAACTTCATAATGCTTGATAAGGACCCCGGGTAAATTAAGATAACTTCAGGAAAAGAGTCATACTTAGAAGGGTAATTCTGAGGCTATTAATTATCAAGTGTCATGAGTCAAATTCTTGTGTAGGAACTGGATATTAAAATTTAGAAGCCATAATATTAAATGGGGATATGCATAGATGTGCTTGAGTTTTTTAATCATCTATAAACATTTAACGTTTTCTTGAAATAGCATACGAGAGATTCAAAACTGTGGGAAGCTTTCTAATTAATCATAGATCTTTTACTGCGTGCAGGTTTTCTGCATTATATAATAGATATCGCTATGTTTCGCTATGATATTGGCCTAGTGGGCACAAGTGGGTAATATGACGATTCATACCAATTAGACACCTTTAAAGTTTAAAAATTAAGTTTGGAAAATATGTCTCTCTCTCACGTGGCACGGGACAATCATTCACATACAAAAAGTGAGTAAAATATATTTATTTTTTTTTTCTTTGGTGGACTTCATTCATTTTTTTATATGTTACATGAGATAATTTTATCTTTTATAATATGAGAAACATATTTCTCATTAAATTTACCAATAAAAAAATGTTTAAACATTAGGTGCAGTAAACGTCCTTCTCTTGTTACCCAGAATACCGCCTTTCGTCTTCTATTATTTGTCTTTTGCTTTTATTCATGTACATATGAACATGAATATTTGATTTGTTGGGTATCACTTATATTTTGCACGTTGATGAGGGCCCTAGTTGTTGGGGTCAGCAGAAAGGCTAGGTCTTGTTGTGGGCCCCTGATTTATTATAATTTTCTTAGTAGTTTGAGCTTGGACTCATGAATAGCTGTTGTTCGAGTTTTCTAATTCTATTTATATTTTTCTTGTAAACTGAGTGACTTGTAACGAATGACGGTGGTGAATATAGTACCGACAAGCTGGACGTAGCCTAAATTCGGTGAATCAGGTAAATCTCTGTGTCTACTTTCTCTCTTTTCTCTTTTCCTTTGCGATTTGTGTGATTGTAGATTTTTAACATGATTGGCACAGTGTACATTTACTACTGTAGGAATTTAGTTTTTTTCTTTCTTTTTAAGGGACTGGAATTATCTTAAAGAATCTCATCATTTCACAATTGTAACCATTTCGAGTAAATTTGGATGGAATGGTTTTGTTCCCTAGCAATTAAATTACTTGCCAACAAATATTGATAAAGGTTCCTTCATTCAAAATGAAATTGTTGACAATGATAGCCAATATTCATGATGAGATTTTTTTTCTGAATAATGATTATAAAAAAAATTCCATTAAAAATTTATCATAAAGGAAAAATTGTCACATTATCGTACAGAATCACCGTATGTTATTTGTTCAATGTTGATATTTATATTCCGATTTTTATTTTTTGGTAGGAGAGTTTTTTTTTTTTTTTTCATCATAAGACCAAAGAGTTTGGTGAATGAATAATGGGGTGTAAAACCACATCATGTTCTACACACGAGCTTATAACTCAGCCATGCATCTCCCTTCCGCATAGGTCCTGCCTCAAGGTGGGACTACCCTAGGCCCAATGAAGCTAGTGCCCCAGAAAAAGAAATCACACCATATTTTAATAAATTAAAAATAACTAGGATTACATATAGATTGTCCGATAGAAAGTTAGCATGAAGGAAGATTTGGACCTGGCTACTCGTGTATTATTATTTTTTCTTCTTGGATTCGGTAGGAATTTTTTTTACGGAAAAAAGAAGTTATCACATGCTAAAGTTATGATATATCACAAACCTCAACAAGACTCCTGTATTTTTAGTCATATATAATACAATTACCGTATACGTGTTGATAGATTGTAAAATTGTAGATAAATATAACAGTTTAAAAATAAAAAGTTAATCTGTTCACGAAAGCTTTTTGATTATATCCGCGCTTACCTTAGGTGCGTAATAAAGTTATTAACGTAATCAACAGACGTAGTTAGAGTTAGGGGTGGGTAAAATAATCAAAAAATTAAATCGAATCATGAACCGAACCAAACTGCCCCATAAAATAACCGGTTTCTAAAAACCAATTTATGAACTGAACCGGTTTGTAAAAAACCAGTTCATGAACCGAACCGGTTTTTAGAATCGGTTTAAGAACCGAACCGATTTTTAGAACCGGTTTAAGAATCGAACTGTTTCTGAACCGAACCATTTTCAAACTGATCCAAATTAATTTTTGTAACTTTATTTTTTAAATTTTTAATTTTTTTTCTTTTCTAAAGAGGGTCGACCCGAACCGGTTCCGAATCACTTTTGAACCGAACCGAACCACTTTTGAACCGAACCATTTAAATCAATTTGGTTCGATTTTTCAAAAAAACCGATTCGGTTCGACCAATGCACATCCTTAAACGCAGTTTGCTCATGAAGTTTAAAGGGCTTGTTGTATCCTGATGCTTTTTGCCTGGTGAATATTGAGTTAATATCTCCTTTTTAAGAGGACGATTTCTTCACGTATCTCCTTCTTTGTTTTAACAACACGTATTAAGTGAGCAAAATGCTCACTCAAATCACTGTTTGGAACAAATTTTAGCTATGTTTTGTTTTCTTCTATTTCTTTCTTTTCTTTTTATTACATTTTATTTATCGATGATATTCTCGCTTTATTTAGCTCTATATAATGCGTAATAAAAATGAATTTTTTTTAGTATTTATCATTACCTTAGATACTGTCTCATCCGTAAGGAAAAAAAAGTCATAAAATCTATTAGGTTTTTAGAAAATACTAAAATTCAATTTGATCAAGTATGCAAGAAGAGTCACGAAATCTAGAGTCCATTCAGCTTAGGCTAGGATTTTTTGAAATTCATATATATTCTACACTTATAGCTATCACCTCTAATGTCTTCACTCTATAATTGCAGAGGTTAAGGTAACATTATCTTTATGATAATAAGAAAGTGTCCACACACCAATTCTATTTTTCCTTGAGAGATAGTTTGAAAGATCCACCACTAGCCAGACTCAAAGAGTTAATTCATGCAGAGAAGAGCAATTCGCAAAGAGAAATCAAATACAGAGAGATACAATATAGATTTGCACAAGAGATAAATATAAAATGATGATCCGTCAGCATCTCAAATGCTTCCGCAGATCCAATGGTGCCAACAAAATCTCGGTTGATCTCTCAAACCACTAATCACAATCTCAGTTTTTAATTTTAAACACCGTTTGTTAAGTTTTCCAGCTTCATGGTGTTTCTCACAATTTCTCATAGTGTTTCTAACCGTCTCATCATGTTTATGTGCCGGAAGCATTTTTTTCTTTTTTTTATGGGCTTTATTAATTTGATGGAATAATAGAGAATTCTCTCATGTAATAGAGATAATTACGTGTGAGACCCACACCTACTATAGAAAGAGAAAAAAAGAATAAAAAAAGAATACGAAAATTGATGTATGTATAAAAAAAAAAAAATCTCTCATACAACATAAGAGTATATTTTCCCTTTTTTTTATTTAGGGATCTATTTATCTTATGTTTTTTTTTTTTTTGGTAAACATCTTATGTTAACTCTTATGCAATAAAGACAAGGTGGCAGTGTTTATTATCCTCTCTTTTTTAAAGTAGTAGATTTCACTATTTTTTTTTTTTTGGTGAGGAGATTTCACTACTTTATCTTTATTATATAAGATAATTATCTTATACAATATGAAATAATTATTTTCCTCTATATTATCTATCACTTTATTGATTACTTGATTCAAATCGGATGGAATTTTCATTATGCTTTATTTATGAATACTATTATAAATTAATTAAAATTAAAGAAAGGCGCAAGAGTATACTATTGACCACATTGATGACATGATATCCAAACAATAAAAAAAAGGAGGGCGAATAAAGCATATACGCATTTACAAAGATATCAAAGGAGGAGGAAAAGAATAAAAGTGATATGCACGAATTTTCAAGAAGCATAAAGAAAAAAGTAAATAAATAAATAAAAAAGAGTGCCATAGATGGATTTTGGATACGCATATGCCCACAACAGTATAGTAGTATATAGCATTATAGGGACTCTCCAAAGTTAAAATGAAAAGGTGCTATTTGATCTACTTTCCTGCATCCTATATTTTATTCTAATTTATTAAACAAAAGACCAATTGATGAACATAAAACAGATGCAGTGAGCCGATTCTTCGTTGTTTAGTACTTTCCATGCTACTGCTCTCTCATAGGACACTGGCCTCCCCATGCTGGACAAACAGATACCACCTTGAATACACATGAAACCCTGCACCAAAATAATCCATCGTTAGAAAGTGATGGCCAACTTCTTGGAGCAACAATGATTCATATGAAAACTTTCTTCTTAGGAGGTCAGAATAAAAAAGAACAAGGTGAGAATTCAGAAACCACATCAATCTAATGTCAACAATTGTAAAGCAAAATTCAACCATTAATAAAATTTACTGTATCCAACCAATGAATAATCAATGTATTTGAGATCAACACAAGTTATTCATAGTTTATGTGAGGTTAATCGTGTCTAATCAACTCAATAGTGAAGAAAATCTTGCCACATATATGTCATGAATTCAGGGTCAGGTCTACATAGGAATTAAATCTTGATAAGTGCTAGAAATAAATAGAGCAGTCTTCTGTACACAACTTAATTATATCATGTATCCATTGTTTTCATCAAGTGTTAACTGCAGTTACTTCATTTATCTGTGAAGATATCCAAATGGCACTTAAATGATAAGCCTATTCTTCAGTTTTAATTTAGTGTTATCAAAACCATTCACGTAATCTCTTTTCATACGTCCTTCCAGCTGCCATTCCCCAATTTCTTTTCATTTGGCCATCAAGTTGCTCATTACCAATATTTATTCCCCAAATTTAAAACAATGGTCTCCCAACAGACATACACTGAAGATATGGTATACAGATAAATTAAATTTTAGTTGGTTATAATTAATAATATCAAATCTTTAGAAAGATAAAACATAATCAATGACTAAAAGAAGGATACCCTCTTGGTTAGGGAAAAAAAAATGGAAAAAGTCAAATGGATTAATTTTCTAAATTCCTGTAAAAAGCACTATACCTGCTGCATTATCTGGGGGAACTCAGAGCACAGGGTTTTCTTTCCGTTGTCATCAAATATTTTTTCCAGGGTGATGTCTTGAAGTGCAACCAAGGTTGTTTCAAGCATGTCAAGTCCAGCTTGGTTTGCAAACATAAAAACGGGTAATGCCTGGCAAAATCATATATAAAGTTATACTTTCATAAATATTGATAGAATTGACACAAACGACATAATAAGGATGTATAGACTCATGACTTGGAAAATAACAAACTGTCTAGTACAAGCTGCAGGAGGGATTGAGTTCAATATACTCAATTCATTCCCTTCATTTGTAAGAATTGAACATTTTAGAGGCATTAGACAATGCTTGTAGATAGAAACATATTAAGCTGATAAATAAAAATTGAAATCCATTTTTAAAAAAAAAATTGATCCATACAAATCCACTGGGGTAGAACAACATAAAGCAAAATAACTAGCGTAAGCAGAACAGAATTATTATCAGAAAGGAAATTTACCTTTAAAGAGCAGCACAAGATTGCATCTGAGTGATGCCAAAGGGATTTGAGAATGGACTCACTGCTTTCACACTTTAGTAGCTCTACCCCTAGATAGAACCTGTAAAGAATGTCAGCATTTAAAATACATTGGACACTTCCTAAACAGGTTTTATAAACTAGAATGAAAACAAAATAGTGATCAAGATATAGAAGTTTCCCATGTGACTTTGGGTCAACATGGCATACTTAATAGAGAACTAAAACTTGCTCTGCCTAGCAGATGTTGAAAGAGTGCATGTCAGGCATTAGTTCAAGAAACTTTAGTGAATGATAAGTTTAGCATTTGGAATGTACAGAACCACTCCAACATGATTGAGATCATTAGTTCATGAATAAGAGTTATGCATAGTTAAGGATTCAACTGACACACCTATGGCTGTTACAGATCCACCGAGCAAGTGTTTGTGCCTCAGGAGTGCCAGGTGGTAAGTGAAAAGCATTGTTAGAACCGAAACGCGAAGGAGAAAGTGCTAATGAAACCCTCTGAACAGATGCAATAATGCTACGGACATACTGTCTGGCCATTGTTGCTATATTATCTTGAAGATGGACTTCAAATGCAAACTGGAATGCTATTGTCATCACAGATTTTGCGCTACCAGAATGACCTGAATTGTCACCAGTTGCCTTGTTTGCGGCGGTTCCAACTTCAAGTGCAGAAGCAAGATCAAGTGTGCGGTTTGGACTAGCTGCATCCTGCATCATATATAAGACAAAAGAAATCAAAATCCTTACTCAAACAAGAAGAGGAAGCAAGCAAGCAACCAAATTTCAAAAGCAATACTAATCAAAGCATATGTAAAGCTAAAGACTTGCCGTGCTGGAATCAAGAGGTATGATGCGAAAACCAGAAGGTAAAATGGGTGCGTCATCAGAGAAAGATGCATCTATTGGAGCAAAAACAAGTTCTGCACTGGTGCCAACTGCATGCTCATCCACTCCACTACAAAGCTGGGGACAGGCACAAACAGAAAGACTATTAGCTATGCACTTGAGGTTGGAAAGAACCTTCTGAACTATACCCAGATATCAGTGTTATAGCTACTTAATTAAACACGTATTTATACTTCATATATAAATCCTGAGTTCCTCACTCTAAACATGCCTAGAACTATGTGCAAATCCCCATTCCAGAAATGTGGTGCATCTTATTCTTTGCAAAGAGTAGAAGCCATGGATGATTAGTTAGGAAAAAAAGAAGAAAAAATAACCAATATAATATTAGTTAATTTATGATGGAAGTGTTTTCTCTTCATTACAATTATACAAGGCTATTTTTTTTTTCTTCATGATTGCAAAAAGATCAAGCATTTGGAAATAGATAAGGTAAAAAGAATAGTGTACTATAAAATATTACTTACTTGCAAGAGGAAAACGTCACCAGGAATAGTCATGTCGTCCCTATAGTAGCCCATGTTTTCAAGCTTAATAACCTCCATGAACTGTTTTAGAGATCAAATGTCAAAAGCATGCAACACGCCCAAATAGAAAACCAAAAGTATGTTAATGCACAACCCGAAGGCAAAAAAAAAAAAAAAAGACTTTAGTTTTATCTTGAAAGAAGAAGAGGTAAATTCTGAATAATAATATGCAAGATGAAGAGACTATTTAGGAGCAAAAAGCTTGCCTCTTCATTCTCAATTGTGTGAGCTAGTGGAAGAATAACCTGACCCCCAAAACCTCCTGCTCGGGCCCCTGGCAAGCTACAGGGACCAGCTTTAATGGCAGCAGCTGAGTAAGCATCAATGCTGCTATCTGCCCATTCTGATCGGTGTTCCCGCAAGAATCTAAGAAGTATTGCCGGAGGGACATTCTACAAGGACAGATAGAGAGAGCATGAGACAACTATATACATGGAAATTGAACACTAGTAGATGATAGAAAGGAAAAGCTGATCCTAGAATCTGGTCTATGAGCACTAGTCTACATTAATGAGCATTAAGATGTATACCTGTAACAACATGGATGCTTTGGCACATAGCACGGAACTGCTCACAGAAGGGAATCCATTGTTATAGCCAAGATTTATTCCCATCATCTTGCTAGGTGATGAATTCACAAGAAGGGTGACATCATCAATGCCATCACTCTCTAACAAGGACCAGCCATCATCTGTAAACCCATTGACAGCTTCATTAAAGCCCCTGCAACAAAAGGAAGTTTAAGTCAGATTATGTAACTAGTCAATTACGTGAAGGAACAGTGTGAAGGATAATGGCACAAACTTGCTCAATCGCTGACTAAGCGCACGTAGAGCTGCAGGCCTTCTTCCCCATCCTGTGACACTTGGCTGAGAAATTTCTTGAGAAATCTGCCTCAAATGACGTAAAGCCTGAATGACAATTACAGCAGGGTTACAAAAGCAGTTTAACCAAATTCCCTCAATTTATATCTTTTACCTCCATCCAAAAGCTAATGTCTATATAAGGAACTTAACAGTCCTTATTCATTAAGCATCACAAGTGTGTACTGTGTAGTGAAAAATAGTAGGCAGAAACAATAGTCTTACCGCCATAGTGGTCCTCTGAGCAAGCAGCATTGATGACTCATAAAGTGGGCGTAGAACTTCAGGTACACTCCATGGCTGATTTCAAAGAGCCAGCAAGTCAATTTGCAAGTTATCAAACAAAGGAAGAAATTTTCTACGCTTTATAGGGTAAAGGTATTTACAAACCTCTAAAACCATATGATCAACAATATGAATAATGGATCCCCCTCCATCGCAAGGTCTAATCAGATACCCGCTTGGCAGCATGTCGGCTCTAACAAAATGCTGCACTGGGGGCATAGTAGGTCCATTCTGAGTGTTGTTAAGTGATCTTTCACAAACCTGACATTGTTAAAATCACAATTGCACCCCCACATGAGTGTTAAGAGTGAAAACGTGAGAACTTTACCGAGAAGAACCATAGTTACGTACCACAAGACTACCATCCTCCAAAAGAGATGTGTAGCGCAGCAACCAGAAGTCACGACCTGGAGCCAAAGTTGTTGGCGCATACAACTAACCAAGATGGAATACGTTGAAAAGTGCATTTAGCAAAGCTTCCAAATATACTAAATTATTGAGACTTAGATATTGTATCAGCTGTATATATATATAGTACCTGCATGTAAAGCAGTTCAATGGTTCCCCCATTTCCAGTGGACATCACATTTAGAACATCCACAGTTCGGCAATCACGAAACCATGAGAGCCTTTCTTTGAGGATTTCGGCAACCTGTGCACAACATTTTTAATCAATGCCTCCACACACACTTCAATGGGATTGGTCCTCTTGATAACAAACGGAAAGGAACTTACCCTGGCAGGTTCTAGACCCACAAGGCCGCAGGCACGTGCAGCCACTCCAGGGCAACCATGAGAAATAGCAACGATTCCAATGGAATCCGGACCAGGCTACAAACATTAAAAAATAAAAATAAAAATTACATCACATAATTAAGAAAAGAAGAAAGTAGATTATTTGGCTGTGTTTCCTTGGCCAAAAGAACTACAGAAGACTACAGTAGTGCCTTTCAGATTAGCAGTAATACCCAATTACTAAAGTGTCATTTACTTTTCCCAGACCAGTGACTTGAAAACCAAGAAATCATTTGATGTATGTCAGTTCAGATGATGTGTTCAACAAGTTGCTATGCTTAAACAAGGTGCATGTAGTTCACTAATGGAATGGAATTAACAGTTAACACGAGGAAGTAATTAAAAAAAAAAAGGAAAAGGAAAAGGAAAAGGTGGTAACCTTCATCCCAGGCATTTGGACCCACTCCACAGCAGTTCCAGTGGCCTTTGAAAGAAACTCTGCTAAAGTCTCCTCTGCAATGGACAAAAGTCTGGAGAATACAGACAAAGACAACACAAAACACGATAATAATATTCCATCAGTAGAGTACAAGGACAGTAAAACATAGGACCCAACAACAAATTAAGAAAAAAAAAAAAAAGAGCCTTTTAAGTTCACTGTTTCACTAACCCAGCAGGGCTTGCATCCCTCGGTGGATGCTGCGGTGTCAAGTGGCGCTGACCGCTCGTTACCACCGACTCACAACTTGTGTCTGTAGTTGCAAGGGTCGCCGCCTGCTGAACAAATGAGGAAACACAACTCAGATGAAAACATTCAGACCTCTCTCCCCCAAAAAAGAAAATAAAGAAAAGAAAAAAGACAATCTTTTTTGCCTAGATATCCTCTATTTTTAATTTGCAGAAATCCACATAATGGATTTAAGCCACCTGGGCAAACCCCAAATGACATGAAAAAATTAAAGGTAATAACTTGGCTTTTAGTCCTCTTCATTGATATATTCAACCAAACAAACTGGGAAATCATAAAGATAGTGCGACAGAAAGATAATATTACATTCTGTGTCTGTTGGCGGAAAAAGCTGTTTTCATACACCAGCTGTGACACCTGTTTCTGCAATCTGTCGTTTTCCTCCATCAATAGTTTGTTCATTGCCGTCAGCTTCCTGTTCACACCTTGCAGTCGTGACGCTTCTTTCCGCTGCTTCTCTCTGCACCTGCAAGTTGCAACCACAAGGAACAAACAAATCACCATAATTAGCCACTGGAATAATTGCCAACTTAAATGCCTTAAACACTGCAACTGGGAATGATTTATGATGTAAAAACAAGATGAAGACCAAGATGGAAAAAAAAAAAAGAAAAACAGGAACTTTAGTTTTCTTTTCGGTAGGTGGGACACGGAAAATGTAAAATTAACACCAAATATTTTAATTCTAAGTGAATTCCTTGTGTTATCGTCCATGTTCTTTTGTCAAAGAAAAATAGAAAACAAAACCTTGGTTAAAGAAAAGGACTCAAAAAAGAGAAGAAAAAAAATATGAAAGTCAGATTTACACAAATCAAACACCCCTTAGGCTTAAATGAATTCATTTATATTACTTTCAATACATACATATTGTAAGTTCAGTATAGTGAAGTTAATTATATGAATGAAAAGTATAGAAGAATTAAGCAAAAGGAGGCGTAGGTACCTTCTGTTTTGGAACCAAACCTTGATCTGTTTGGGCTCAATATTGGAGAGAATGGGACACTCTCTGATGAGTTGTTGGCGGCGTAAGGAAGTGGGTTTGGGGCATTCATGGTAAAGCCTTTCGAGTGCTTCCACCTGCTCAGGTGTGTAACGCACGTACTTGCCGTTGTCCATTGCCACCTTGCTACCATCTTTGCAGGCTGAACTCACTGCCATCATCCCTTCAAAATCCAACCCCAAAATATTTTTTTATTTGTTTCAATTTGTAAAACTCAAAAAAAGAAGAAGCTTTCATTTGAGATTTGATTAGATTACCTGTGGCTTTGGTAGTGCTTTCAGTTTAAGCTTAAGAGGCAAGAAGCATGAGACCAGTCAGGCATGAAAGAGAAGAGAATGAAACTGCAAAACTTAAAAGAGGTACTACTCAAAGTTTGTCTGTGACAGTTGTTGCTTGTATTATATGGATCACTTATGACAGAAGAGAGAGGATCAAGAGAGATATATGTGAAATGTGAAGTGAATGGAATAATGTAGTCCAAGTTTTTATTTATTTTTATTTTTTTTGTATGTGTGTGTGTATCTGTATACAGAATGGAAAAGGACTAGTGCGGGGTATGTTGGGATTGGGAGAGAGAGAGATGGGGGTTACTTGTAAGAGAAAAACCCCAAATATCAGACAGAATAAGCGAACATTTTTTTGTTTTCACATCATTCTCCCCTATGCTTTCTGTTCTTCTTTAGCTGTTTTGCCTCCTGCTTTTTCCTGTTGCTTTTCTTTCACTACTTCGTTTTGGCACTTTCCAATACTTACAAAAGCGTCTCTCTCTCTCTCTCTCATCACTCATCACTCATCACAGAGGTTGTGACTTGTGACTTACAGAGAAGGAAATAAGAAAAAAATGCGACCCATCCACTCTCTCACTTCGCGACGCGTGTGCTGTGAAAATTGTATAGTATTGGACATTGCACAACGCAATTTTTTAATTACGATTATGGTGAGGCCATATTACCGTCACAATTATTGTGGCTCTACGTTCCACTGACACCGACACGAGACACGAAATTTTAAAAAATGTTAAATTTCGATACGTTTTGATATTATATAATATTTTTAATTTATGTAGTGTGTATTATATTTGGTATTCAATAATTTAAAAAAATTAAATAAAATTAAACTTATAATACCCATTAATTTTGCAAAGAAAAATAATATATTTCAAATGTTTATATTAAACTCAATAAAATCATAATCGTAATCTAATGAATCTAATAGTTGGAACTCACGCAACATAACATTTGAATCTTTTTGAGTCTTTGCTATAAGTATTGGAGTGTCAGGAAGTGTCGGCAAGTGTCGAACATGATATGTCATAATTTTTTGAAGTGTCGGTGCTTTATAGTCGTGGGTTGATCTAAGTCAACTGCAACTAATGTAATTCACAATTAAGGCCCGATAGAATCGTAACAATTACTACAATATTTGGAGAGTCACCTCAAATATACCCTTGCACAAGCTGAACTGTTTTATACCATATACGTAGTTCACGCTCCACACGTAGTTTTTTTTTTTTTGAGGTTTTTCTTCGGAACAAGCGTCAGCAGAACAAATAACTTACAGTGGGAGTTATTATTAATTAATGAGCTAAGTTAGCTGAAGAAAATATTAAGTTCAGCTATTAGGTTCACGAGTTTTTTCACTTGTATGAATTTTATTTAACTCATTATCAACTTATTTCATTACAGTTTAATATCTCATTTGATAATACTTTTACGAGCATAAATATAAATCACAACAAACTATATATGTTTTATTAGTGAAGTTGGAACAACCCTTGCAAGTTGATCCACATCTACGTGCTTGGTGATTTTTGTTGTCTTTTAATTATGCATATTAATTAGTGATAAAAAATTGAAACATAATTTAGGCAGTCAATTATTTTAAAGGTAATAGTCATATATAAATTGTGGCATTCGAAATGCAGCACATAGGACTCGTTTTTATTATTCAAGACATTCAAGATTGCCCTGTTTATAATTAACTGCAAGTTCTTTGATTAATGAACTTGAGAATCTCTATTTTCGTGCGTATATATATACGTGTGAGAGGAGAGAGAATAATGGATAGTTGAGTTGAAGAATGTAAGAAATATCATTCATAATTGGACTTTATTAATCTTATGCAATAAGAAAAAATTCTATCATGTTATAAAGATAATTATGTATGCGATTCACTCACTTATAAAAAAATTTAAAAAAATAACACGAAAATCGATGTATGTGTAAGAGATAAAAACATTCTTCTACAACATAAGAGTATATTTTTCCTTCATAATTATATAGAAACGAGCCCATCATTTATTTGACCCCATAATTATGTTTGCGTCGCCTCTACATGATATTTGGAGAGCTGGCTTTGTTAAAAGATTTGTATGCTCATCACAGAGACAGCATAATTAGGGTTCTTTGCATGCGGGCTACCAAGTTTTAATTTCTTATAAAAGCAGCCGGTTTCACCGTGTATCTTTTTTTTTTATATAGAGTTTCACCTTTGTATCTGTATTACTGTATACACTATTTTGACAAATTCTTCTACCTCATCGCATGTCATAAATATGCATTATATATATATATATATATATATATATATATATATATATATATATATATATATATATATATATATATATATATATATAATGTAAGACGCCCACATGATATTTATCATCATGACAAAGTCAAATCCACAAAGCATCGCATTCTACTTTCTACTGTACTGGTCGAGATTGTCGCCCTACGTATTCTGATTTTATGTCACTTCGGTCAAAATAATTATTCTATAGTATAAACCAGAGCTTATTTCTTGTATTTTTAATTTCAATCCTCATGTTTTGTTTCTGATACATTCATGGTAATTGAGAGAAGCATGAATCCCGGGTCACACTTATTAATTTGAAGACTAGTTCAAACTTGAAATTAGTGGTGCAAGCAAGTACACATTATATTCATAAGGTAATAAAATATTAGTAGACCATAGTGCAGGTCAAAAGAGAAAAAATAGACACAGTTACTAGTTATGTTCCCATGCCATACACGGGTTTATACATTTATTTTTTATTTTTGTAACATTAGTTATTTTATTTTTCGTATGAAATATTTGGATGTGGAATTAAGAGAAATTCTTAAAAAGAAACTTCTTATGTTAAGCATTCAAAACAAGATTATTGAATCGCAATATGTATCGATGGATGTGGTAAACGAGTTAGGGGTCTTTGATCCGGCTCGTGAAGGCTTAGACTTACATGTCTAAAATTGATTGTTAGAACCAGACTTGAACTTGTATAAAAGTTCGTTTAATAAAAAGGCCACAAGCTCCAATTCAAAAGTCCGGTCTTAAACCCTCTCAGGTTGACTTAGTATACTAACTTTTATTATTATTTTAATTTTTTATACTACTCATAATAGCCATCTCTCTCCGCAACCCATTTCACCCCTTTTATTGGTTAAACATATTTTGAATGATTTTGTATTATATTATGTTGTTTAGATGTATATATGGAAATTATGAATCTTTATAGAATTATTAGTGCTGTTGATTGTATATTCTGTTTGGATAAATTTGTGTTGTCTTATATCTTTTTAACATGTTAAACCAGACTATTATTTTTTGTAAATAAGTCAGATCACATTCTGATAATAATATTCATAACAGGTAACACACTAGGTCAGATTGACACATTTAAGCACATGCTTAGTCTTTTAAGACCAAAGCCCGGCCCGGCTCGACCCATTAACACCCTTATGTATCGTGTATCATTTGGACGATTTTTCGTATCGTGTATCGTGTATTGTATCGAATCTGATACATAAATATAATAAAAGATAATTTAAAAATGGGAAATCATTTTCTCATGTTGTTGGAGATTTCTTTCTCATGTTGTGAGGCATCGAAGTCCGTGCTATTTTCTTTTTATTTTTTATTTTTCTAACAAGTGGTGGGACCTATCACTTGATATGTCTATAACTAGGGGTGTGCAAAAAAACTGGTTCACTTGCCCTGCCTTTGATCCGACCTTGACCCGACCCATAAATACCCATATTTTTTGAACTGGTTTAAATACTGACCCATTTTTATTTGGGTCAGTTTTAGACCTGACTCGTTTTAATATTGACCCAAAACTTGACCCATACCTATTATGTGAAAAAAAAAATCACAATTACATTAAAAGAAAAGTTTTTTTTAACGTAAAACAATTACGTCAAATTTTTTTATCGAAAACATTTTCATAAAAATTTTCGCAAAAATTTTTGACGAAAAATATTTTCATCAAAATTTGTGACTAAAAACATATCGGTAAAAAAATTTGATGGAATATTTTTTTTGTCACATTTTTTTACGGAATCTAAATTTCGTCAAAATATTTCATAAAAAAATATTTTCATAAAAACTTTCGACGAAACACATTTTCATCGAAATTCTTTGACGGAAAAAAAATTTCATCAAAATTCTTTAAAGATTTCAATTTCGGCGAAAGTTTTCGACGGAAACATTTTCGTTAAACTTTTTGACAAAAAAAAATTTCGTCGAAATTTTTAGCGAAACACATTTCTATCAAAAAATTTCGACTAAATATTTTCGTCAAATTTTTTGATAAAGAATATATCCATCAAAATTATCAACGGAACACATTTCTGTAAAAAAAATTGGTAAAATATTTTGACAAAAATATTTCGATAAGAAATTTTGACAGAAAAAATATTTTGTCTAAATTCTTTATAGAATCTAAATTTCGCCGAAAGTTTCAAATGAAACATTTTCCTCGAAATAATTTCCATTGAAAATTTCGACAAAACACATTTCAATCAAAAAATTTCGACGGAAAGTTTTCGACGGAAATATTTTTGTCATCAAAAAATTTCGACGGCAAAAAATTTCATCAAAATTCTTTACAAATTTCAAATTTTGGCGAAAGTTTTCGACGGAAACATTGTCGTCATAAAAAAATTTTGACGGCAAAAATATCGACGGCAAAAATTTCATCAAAATTTTTCACAGATTTCAAATTTCGGCGAAAGTTTTCGACGGAAACATTTCCGTCGTCAAAAAATTTTGACGGCAAAAAATTTCGACGGCAAAAAAATTCATCAAAATTCTTTACAGATTTCAAATTTCGGCGAAAGTTTTCGACAAAAAAAATTTCGTTAAATTTTTTGACAAAAAAAAATTTTCGTCGAAATATTTTGTGAAACACATTTCCATCGAAAATTTTCAACTAAATATTTTCGTCAAGTTTTTTGATAAAAAATTTTCAACGGAACACATTTCTATAAAAAAAATTCCGTAAATTTTTTTGACAAACAAAAACATTTTGACGAAAAAAATATTCTGTCAAAATTCTTTAGAGAATCTAAATTTCGTCGAAAGTTTCAAATTAAACATTTTCCTCGAAATAATTTTCGTCAGAACACATTCCCATCGAAATTTTGAACGAAAAACATTCCGTCAAATTTTTTGACAAAATTCTTTTTTCGTTTAAAACCTTTGATGGAAGAAATCATTTTCGTCAAAACTGTTGACGGAAACTAAATTTCAATAGAAAAATTTT